GACAAGGTTGCCCTCTTTCCCCTTTACTTTTCACTTTGGTGATGGATTTATTTAATTATCTCTTTGACAAGTCAATTCTTTTCAACTTGGTGAAAGGTTTTGAAGTGGGTAGGGATAAACTTCACATCTCTCACTTACAGTTCGTCGACAACATAATCCTATTCTTAGATGCCTCTATAACCAACATCACAAACACTAAAATTGTAATTGAATGTTTCGAGATTCTCACTGGTATGAGAGTTAACTTCTGCAAAAGCAGTATTGTGGCCATCAACTCAGTGGAAGTGGATCTTCTAGAAAATTTCAAATCTTTATTGGGGTGCAAAGTGGAGAATCTCCCCATTACCTACCTTGGGATGGCTTTTGGAGGGAATCCAAAGTCCCTCAACTTTTGGAGTCCTGTGTTGGAGAAATGCAAGAAGAAACTATCGACTTGGAAAAAGTGTTATCTCTCCAAAGGGGGTAGGCATACTCTCTTAAAGGCCTCCTTATCAAACTCTGCTGGTCTACTTTCTCTCTGTCTTCCAGATTCCGACCAAAGTCAGAAATCAGATTGAGAAGCTTCAAAGGAATTTTCTTTGGAAAGGTGGTGGAGATAAGAAAAACCATTTAGTTAGCTGGAAACAAGTATGCGGACCAAAAGAGGAAGGCAGTTTGGGTATTGGACAGCTTAAAGAGAAAAATTCCTCTCTTCTAGACAAATGGCTCGGGAGATTTCCGAAAGAACCTAATGCTCTTTGGACTGCTGTCATCTCTAGTAAATATGGACGAAATACAATCGGGTGGGATTGCAATCTCCATTTGAACAGGATAAAGGCCATCAAWCCTTGGAAAGGTATATGTTCCATTCATACTTCTTTCTTTCCTTTTATAAGGTATAAAGTGGGAAATGGTTCTAAAATTAAATTCTAGAAAGATCTTTGGTGGGGAGGAATCTACCCTGGGTGCCTCTTTCCCTAGGCTGTTTAACCTCACCCTTGTCCAAGAAGCCTCTATCTCTAATTGCCTCCCAAACCAGTCTGCCGAGAATTCTTTAAACCTCCACCTCAGAAGACCCCTAAGGGACTCGGAGATTTCTGATTTAATAGCTTTAATCCAAACCCTCAACGATGCCTATATATCCCCCTCTCATTCTGACACCCGAATATGGACCCTTCACCCAAATGGCGAATTCTCTTCTAAGTCTATGTTCAGGGCTTTGACTGCTCAAGATCAGCATCCCTCTTTTCCTTCAAAATTTGGTGCAACCACATCCCCTCAAGAATTTGCTTCTTTGTATGGGAGTCCTGTCTCCAGAAAGTTAATACTTGTGATCTCCTTCAGAAAAAACTTTTGGGAAGACACTCCATTTCTCCTCATGTTTGTATTTTATGTCTCAGCGAGCGTGAATCTGCAGATCACATCCTTCTTCATTGCAGCTTCACTCAAAGGATATGGTCCCATTTCTTGAATATAGCAGGGTACAGCTGGGAGTTTCCAAAACACATTATGGACAACTTGAATCAATGATAAGGAATAGGGCTTAGCAAAAGGGGTAAAGTCTTTTGGCAATCAGTGCCTCATGCAGTAATGTGGGGCATTTGGGAATTAAAGCAGAACCTTGGATGAGTTAATCTCAGATATTACCTATCTTTGCACCCTTTGGTCGGTGAATTCAGATCTATTTAAAGGACTTTCAGTCAATGATATTATCAGAAATATTCACCCCTTTCTGTTTCTGCTTCATCCTCAGCAAACTCCCTTGAGGCATCCCGTTTCCATCAGTGAAGGTGTGATAACCCTTAATTTTGATGGTCGTGCCTTAGGCAATCCAGGCTTTGCAGGTATTGGTGGTACAGTAAGGGATGAAAGGGGCAATATCTGCTGGACTTTTAGTGGCCCAATCGGTTGGGCAGACTCCAAAAAGGCTGAAGTGATGGCTGCTCTCACCGGAATCAGGATAATTAAGAATTTAGGAATTCAGAATTTGATCATTGCAGGTGATTCAGCAAATACAATAAAATGGTTAAGAGACAAAAAAGGGGGCCCTTGGAGACTTTATCACTATCTGACTAAAGCTTGGGATTCTTTGGATGGATTGAATGTTAACTTAGTTTGGATTCCTAGGGAATACAATCATACTGCAGATGGCCTAGCTAAATTGTTAAGTATTTGGAGCATCTGTATAGCGACAAGCTTCCTCCTTTGTAACTTGCAGGGATTCCCCCCCCCCCTGTTTTGTATATCTCCTCTTGTTCCCCCCCCCCTTTTATTCTCAATAAATCTTGGTTAAATTTTCTCAAAAAATAAAAATAAAACAAACTTTGGTCAATGGTCAAAATCAAGCATTCTTGTGATAGCAAGGAAATTTTCTTTGCATTATAAGACAAATGGTTATGGGAGATTGACTATTGATAGAGAAGTTGCCACAAAGGGTAGTGGTAAACATTCATAGGATTTTGGATAATGGTTGGGATGTTGGTGCTTTTCATTAGGCAATTTTGGCCTCCACTTAGAAAGCTATCCAAGAAATTCTTCCTCAACTTCTAAATTTTGTTTGGCATGATGTAGGGTGTCAATGGACCAGTTTTGGTTTGGACCTCATTGGATGGACTGGACAAACCAATTAGACAAATTGAATTCGACCAGTTCAGATTTAAAGGTCCAAATTGGATTGGATTGGACTTGGTCCATCCGTTATGGATTTATATTGGATTGGGTCGGATTGAACCAATATCCAGTCCATAGATAGAAGATAACAATACAGGTGTCAATGGACAAGGTTTGGGTCGGAACCAATCTAAAACTAAGTTAAATAGATTGAATGGTCCATGTTTGAATTAGACTGGTCCAAAATGGTCTAAAGTATTCATTGGACTGGATTGGATTGGATTGGATTGGATTGGAGCTGATCCATTTGTAATGGACTCCTATTGGACCAGATCAGATTGGATCAAATCCGGTCCAATTGATGCCCCTAGTATCATGTGTGTTCTAGGAACATAATTTTGTTTTTGGAAAATTTATGGGTGGAAAATTCTGCCCTCAAGAACCTTTTTCCTACTTTGTTTTCTATTTCTTTGTATAAAAATGAACCTATTTTAAATTCTTATCCCCCCTCATCATATGGTTCTAATCAGGACCTTGGGTTTATAAGAGGGACGAGGGATGTTGAACTTGATTCGGTAATTGAATTGTCACAAATCCTTGAAAAGTTCTGTTTAGATCCTTGAAAACCTACAGGTGTGTTTGGACCCCCCCCCCCACAGCCAACACGTTACTTCTATTGTTTTTTTTTTCTTGCAATCTCTTTGTCCATCACCTTCTTGTTAATAAGATTTGATCTATACCTATCCCTCCCAAAATTGGTGCTTTTTCTTGGAAAGTGTATCATGGGAAGTCCGAAGATCAACACTAGGCATTTTCAAAAAGAGAAAGCCTTGTTGAGATTGTATGAGGCAAGGATCTTTTTGGTACTTATGGTATTTTGTATTTAGGCACCCATATGCGGGCTTTCTTGCAATTTCTCTCTCATAATATAAATTTCACGTTTGAGAGAGTGAACAGTAACACTCTCTCCTCCATTCGTTACTTTCTGTCTTCCTCTTTCTTCTTCTCCTCTTCTTATTGCTCTCGCAAAAAAAAACTAGACACTACAACTACAACTTGGTATCAGAGCAACTAGAAGCTCTTGGGAGAACCTTCTTCTGCTGACCTTTGGTCAAAGGATGAATTGCTAACGTCAGACAACCGCCGGATGACGTCAGTAGTCCATATAGGTGATGGTGACAATCCCTAAAATGTAAGTGTGGAACTTTTGTTTGACTAAAATAACACTATTTTTTAATTTGGTCCCTCTCTAATTGCGAGGGCAGCAAATGTAATTTGAACTACCACTTTTCAAGTTATCTAATTCCCTTTGATTAAGTCTTATATTTAAGGTGTTAACTCACATCAACTTTCATTAAATTCTAGTCTTGACTAAAATGCCCTTATGTTTTAATTTGGCCCCTCTAATTGTGAATGCAGAACATGTAACTTGAACTACTTTTTACCTAATTCAATTCTCTCTCGTAAGTCTTTTATTTAAGGTATTAATACCATTCTCTCTCGTTAAATCCTATATTTAAGTTATTCTTTTCTTACTAATAGATTCTATCTTTTTTTACTTTAAATAAATTTTGTCAATTAGATCTATATCCAATACCTTTAGCAATATAAAACACATGTTTAAAACCAACTCAAGAATGGCATTGTTCTTCCATCATGTCGTGGGTAAGTAATTCAACCATCTAAGCCAATTGGGTCAATCTATGAAGTGATAGTTAAATAATAAAACTTTTAAAATGGAAATAGATACAAAAGATTACAAAAAATATAAATTGTAGAAAACCAGGTGCATCTCTAATATTTTATTTTAAACATGTTAAAGGAAAATATGTATGGAAAACAATAATTGCTCTATTGATGTTGACAATGAAATACAAAATTTAAAATGGCCAAAAAATGAAATTCTTTTCGTCAATCCACTAAGCCATGACATCACCACCTAATATGCTTTGACAATCCATTATCAATATCACCTATGATAAGTTCTTACCTAAGATTGCAGCTACCTGAAGCTTGCTTAGAGCAAAATATGTTGCTTTCATGGTAAAGTGCAAATTCATGAATGAAGTATATCTTGAAATTTGTAATGATTCAACCCAAATCATCAAAATTCAAAAACAAAAGTCACTATAATTTTCTTTTTTCCTGAATGAGCCTCTTCAATTCTTTTGGTCTTATACAATTTGATTTTTATGTCTTTCTCCTCTCCAGGTATTCAAGGCATAATTGTACTTTCATCATAGAAGACCCTTTGAGAACAATTAGAAGACATTAAATGAATAGGATATAAACTCAGTGTAGGTTACAGAATCCAATGCTAAAACATGCTTAGTAGCAATAGGAAGCTTTAACAATAAGAAATAGGAAAACAAGATGCAATTAACCCAACCTTTGAATTCATAATATTCTCAAGTTCAAGAATGTGTTTTCCATAGGCACATGGAGAGCTTGAAACTGTCAAACAACGAAAGCATAAGGCTGGGGATCAAATGTGAATACCATAACACTATATCAAAAAATCTGTCAATCTCAAGCAAAGAGAGAATCATAATAAGTAACAGCAAAATTATAACACAAAAGAAACACAATGCATTTACCTTTAGACTTTATAGGGGAAGCAGTCATCCCAAATATCCTAGGAAGATGAATGGAATTTGAATGCAATTGCCGATGATAGAACTCCTACACAACAATCAAGATTAAAAGCAAACAAGTCATTAGGCACTCTTTTAGTATATATAAATTCCAATGAAGAAACATGTGCATAGCTATTATGCAAATAACCAGTAACAGAAGAAGCCTACACAATGCACAAGCCAAAGAGGGGATATATGTGCACATACACAGGAATAGGGTAGGACAAAGCAATAGAGGGGGGGGGGGAAGAACATTTGCCATATGCATTTCCCAAACTTACATATATGCACAATAATAAACTTTATGTTAAACAACAAAACATCTCAAATATATGTTATCATCATCCAAGCCTTATCCCAACTATAGGGGGTCGGCAACATGAATCCTGTTTCATCATTCCATACTATTTATTGCCATATCCATTGTTAAACTATGGGAATTTATGGCATTTAGTGATCAAAAGCATCTGTGGGTTGCACCCAAATGATTGGGATTCAGGCTTACTAGGGGACCAACTTTGAGAAGCCCTTGGAGATCAATTTTGACTTTATGTGGTTTTAGTGCAAAGTGTGAAGTTCTAGGAAGATACTTGGGAGGTATTCCAAGAGAAAATTAACATTTGTGACCTACAAAAAAGAAGATCTAATTGTTGCCTTTTTCCTTCTTAGTGTTTACTTTGTAAAGCTAATGGTGAAACGTGCCATCACTTGTTAATCTCCTGTCCTTTTGTTTCTTGTACCAAGAGAAATCCAAGAGCTTCAACGATCAGAGGCATTTTTAAGGATGAGAGAGGGCTTCTAGTGGCACTGTTTTCAGCACCTATTGGAGTAGGAGGTTTTCTAAGAGCAAAGGTCATGGTTGTTATGGAAGGGGCACAAAGAGCAAGAATGATGAATGTAAATAAGATAATTATTGAGACTCTAAGTTGGTGTTGGAGTGGTTGTAGAGTGGGGAGATAGCTCTATGGTAGTATAGCAATGAGCTAAAAAAGTTCTTATGGCTGACTAGAGAGAGTAGAGAGATGGAAGTGAGATTTCAATGGGTTCAAAGGACAACTAATAGTGAACTAGCTAAGCAAAGGGTAAGGAGGGAGAAAAACTTTTGGGTACATTTGTAAGGAAAGCACCAACTGATGGTGGCTCAGTTGGTAGGGTCGCTGACTCATGTTGTGGCAAAGACCCAGGATCAAACCCCATTGCCACCAAGGGTGGGGTTTAAGGGGATAGGGGATGGGATGGGCTTCCCCCCCCCCCNCCCCGAGGATCAAAGCTTTTTTATCTCTCCCATTGATGCTTGCAATTTGTACTTTTTAATTTGCATTAATAAAGTATTCAGTTATTGAAATAGCTTGGTACATTGATAGGAGACCATCTGTAGCACCAATAAGAATAAGTAATTTGTTGCAAGTTGACGAGCTAAGGGCAAGCAATAATAAACATGGAAGTCATATAAATGATTTAAGGGCTCATAATTTAACAAAGGAACAGAATTCATACATCTGACCCCACATAGTTAGGACAAGGCTTTGTTGAATTAAGTTGTCTGCATTGTTGTGAACTTGCATATTTTAATAAGTTAAAAGATAACCCTTAGCTTTACCATCACAATATTAGCTACTTGGACATTGCATCAAAACTACACATATTGTGATTTCTTCATATTGTTATTTCTCTTTTTTCCTTCTTTTTCCCTTAACTTCCTACTTGCATACTTTGGATCAGATAACATTATGTTGATTACGCATACAGAAAATCTCAGCATCAACTGCAAGATCTTGGTTTGGTGCTAAACTTTCCTTTAATTGTACTTACAAAACCTTTTTTTGTGTCAATGAAAAATAAAAAAGGCAAACATCTTAGTGCAACTATCATACTTAAATACAAAAAAACTTACCTGAAAGAAACCATCATAAAACATTCTAAACCTTTAGTATTCAGCATATATTTGGAAAAAAAAATGCATAAAACAAATATTACCATCATTATACAAGCATAAGGGCTTCGACCTCTTGCATTGTGACACTCATCAAATATTAGCAGTTGTATGATCTCCAGCTTCAAAAAACTATGCCTCAAGGCATCAAGTAAAATCTGAGGTGTCATCACAAAAACCTGTATATATTAAAAGGAAAAAGGTCAAAGATTTTAGCAAACAATGAATACATCAAAAGAGATAAAAACAAGAAAAGACATGATGATGTCTAACTAAGAACATCAATTGCAACTAAAAACATCAGAAGGCCTAACTATATCATGCAGATATCAAATTCAAGTAGTAGGAGATTACCATCCAGTGTCAGTACTGCAATAAAAATTAGAAACAAGGAAAAGGACAAATTTAATCATTTTCTTTCTTGAACATCCTTCTACTCTGCCTGCCCATAGATATTCTCAGCACAACTGTTTGGCACCTAACCGTGCAAGGTCAGACATGACCATTTATATATGCATTGCCAGTTTTTTTTCCTGGGGAGTGCAGGTTATGAATATAAAGCCATTGAAACAATTCAGAAGACACTGTCTCTATGACTTTTACTTTTGCAATTAATAATGCAGTATACACCCTCAACAACCCCCGCAAAAGAGAAAAATGAAATTAATAAAATAACCCTACTGCTGCTGGCATATCCACAGAGACAAATCCAACAGTACTCTCCACAACAAGATTCATGGCCTTCTGACAATTCCATTGAGCATGAAAAGGGTTATGTACAATTGATGGAACTCATGGGAGTAGAAAATCCTCCCAGCTTCAGAAAATTGAAAAGAATCATTAAAATCCTGTGATGCTAAAATCTTGGGCTGACAAGTGTTAGAATGTGGGTTCAAGCCTGAGAGAAGCCACTTTGTGCAAGAAAAACATGAACAAATGTTAGAGTCAACCATACAGGATAGTTTCGTCTTTTCAGTATATTATTAGTGTGATGTAATTTCTATTATGTTCAAGTTTAAGTTATATGTCCCATACTTGATCAGGGGCATAAAAGTCTTTATTTACTTCATCAGAAACATATAAATACAATCTGGCCGATTAGAGAATTGACTTCTTCTCTAGATCAAACCAGTTTTCTCCTCCTCCTCTTCTTTCTCTCTTCTCTCTCTTTCTTTTGTCTTTATTCTCTGCTAATCTAGGACTGAAAACAAATGTTAGCAAAAGCACTGTAGTTCTCTTTGTAGAGACTCTGTAACTTGATGTATCTTATTAGTATAGTCCCTGTTGTATATTAATTTTACATTTTATTCTTTTCTCTTTCAGCCTTATAAGGACATTCTTGTAATTGTACATATCTTTTAATATATAAGAGACTCTTTGAGGTGGGGGTCATTCATTCTTGACACCCCTAAGATTATTCTTGTTCTTTCCTCTATTCGGCCAAGAGTGTTGACATGGTAACAGAGCAGGTTGCTCTTTGATCTATTTTCTCTCTCTCTCTATTCCTGTCGTGTTAGGGCTGTTTTGATCAACCCTTTTCTGTTCTTTCTTCTTTGTGCAACCAGCAGGAGAGATTTCATTAGATCTCCCTTGGGAGACATTGGTTCGATGCCAAACTTCAGATCTGGTGTCGCCTAGACCTGGTCTATTTTCCCTACAAACAGTATCTGATTTGGTGAAGTTTTCGAAGGAGTTCTGATCTTCTTCTTGGGGCGGCAACACTGTACAGTTTCCTTTTTTGGACTGCAACAGCTTTGGACTTCAGATTTGGTGTCGCCTAGACCTGATATATTCCACCTACAAACAACATCTGATTTGGTGATGTTTTCGAAGGAGTACTGATCTTCTTGGGGCAGCAACACTGTATAATTTCCTTTTTTTGGACTGCAACTTTTTTCTGGACTTTAGGCCTTCTACATCAGTCTGCAATTTGAGTTTTTCTCTCTAGATTGAAGGGTTCTCTCAAGCTCTTCTTAACCCTACACTCAGTTTCTAGTTTGGAGTTTTAAGGACTGTTTCGATCAGCACAAGATACCTCCTTGTTCTTGAAGAAGATGCCTGATGTGTTGGTAAATCACAAATTTCTCTCAATCGGCTGACTCGATCAACTTATAACCCTAGATCTGGTGTCGTCCTAGGGTTTTCTTGCCTTCCATTTATTTGATTCAGACTTCAGATTCATATTTGAAAGGTCTTAGACTCGACAGTCTTAAAAACTTGCCTTTTTTGGCCTGTCATCTTGAGTTCTTGATTGCTGAATTTGGTTGTCTCTGATATCCTTGTGCTTGAACTGCTATTTTCTTGCTGAAATGGTCTCCGATAGAGTCGATACTATTCCTATAAAACTGGAAGGATCTACCTATGGAATTGACATTGTTGTTGTAGCACATGGGAGTAAGAAATCTACTACTGGTGGTGATTCTTTTGTTAAAGGTGATTCTCTGGCATCTATGGTTGAGCAAAACATTCAACAACTGGTAACATTTGCTATTTCTTCTGCTCTTTCTGCTATTAGCTTACCTGGTGAGTTTTCTGGTTATTGTGCTTCTCCTTCTCATATTTGGATTATTGACTCTGCAGCTACCAACCACATGACAGGAGTCTACCCTAACCAACCAAGTAACCTTACTGAAACCCATCACAAACATATGTTACTACCAATGGTGAAAAGTTAAACATCATTGGTAGTAGTAATCTGTCTCTTAAGCTTTCACCCACTACATCTTTCCCTCTTACCAAGACCCTTCTTGTTCCTAATCTCACTACAAATTTGATTTCTGTTGGCCAATTAGTTGATGAAGGTAACATTCTCATCTTCTCTCAGGATGGATGTTTGATTCAGGACCAAAACACTAGGAAGGTGAAAGGGAAGGGACGCAGGTTGGGCCGTCTGTTTGCATTGGAGTTCGAGAAGTCTCAAATAACAGCAGCATCAGCTTATTTCAGTTCCTCCACTTCTAGTTCCTTTCCGAGTCATAGAAATAATGTTTGGGACTTATGGCATAAGCATTTGAGTCATTTACATGCTGAAAAATTAAAATTTTTGTTTGATTCAGGCCATATTAAGAATAGAGCTCCTTCCTTGTACACCTTTGATACATCTTGTATTTCTTGTTGCTTAAGTAAGAGTCATACCTTACCATTTCCTCACATATCTGAGCATGCTATCTCTCCCTTCGAGCTTATATATAGTGATGTCTGGACTGTATCTGTTACTTCTCAGTTTGGATACAAATATTTTGTGTCGTTCATTAATGATTGTACCAGGTACACATGGATATACTTTCTTCGCCACAAGTCTGAGGTGTTCCCAACATTTAAGCTACTTCATGCTATGGTACAGGTTCGGTTTCAATCACAAGTGTGTATTCTTCGTTCTGATTCAGGAGGAGAATACACTAATGGGGATTTTTTATCCTACTTGAAGAATCATGGAATACAAGTGCAATGAAGTTGCCCAGATACTCCTTAGCAGAATGGTGTGGCCAAGCGCAAGAATGGACATATCCTTAGTGTTGTGAGGACATTATTGCAGGAGTCCCATACTCCATCTTCCTTTTCGGTAGAAGCAGCCATTACAGCTGTGTTTTGTATCAACTATATTCCTTCCTTTGTTCTTGGTAATATGTCTCCCTTTCAGAAGTTGTTTGGTCGTTTTCCAAATTTATCTATGCTTCATGTTTTTGGATGTGTGTGCTTTGTTCATCTTCCCTCTCGTGAACGCTCTAAATTGTCTACACAGTCTGTCATGTGTGCCTTTGTGGGTTACAGTCCTGACCACAAAGGATTTCTTTGTTATGATCCCTCTATTTGTCGCATTCGTATATCACGTAATGTTGTTTTCCTTCAGCACATTTCCTTTTTTGTTGGAATTGCTAGACTGTCTGCACCGTCTATTTCTATTTTGTCAAACTTTGATTCACAGGAAGCTCCACCTCCTTCTGCTGAGAAGGACAATATCGTCTTCTCTCGCAAGCGGTTACGTAATCCAGCCCCTGCGCCTACGACTCTCCTTCCTCCCGATTCAGATCATCATCTTACCACTACTCCTGTAAGTGATCCCTCTACTTCAAACACTCTTCATACTTTTGTTCCTCTTCGCTGTTCTACTTGTATATCTAGACCTCCTGACCGCTATGGTTTTCCTTTAAACCATAGCTCTTTGTCTGTTGTCCGGTAGACAGACGTTCCTCACTCTTACCAAGAAGCTAATAGTAGCCCTCATTGGAAGGAAGCCATGGATGTAGAGATTCATGCTTTACATGAGAATGACACTTGGGACCTTGTGCCTGCTCCTCCAAATGCATCCATTGTTGGGAGTCGTTAGGTTTACAACATCAAGCTGAAATCTTATGGACCTCTTGATCGATACAAGGCACGTTTAGTTGCCCAGGGATATAGTCAGGAGTATGGTATCGACTATGAAGAAACCTTTGCTCCTGTTGCAAATATCACCACAGTCCATGTTCTTTTAGCAGTGTCTACCGCTCAGTCTTGGACTATATGCCAACTTGATGTGAAGAATGCCTTTCTTCATGGTCAGTTGAAGGAGACGGTCTACATGAAGCCTCCTCTTAGATACTGCAGTGATCCTTCTTTAGTATGTCACCAAGAAAAATCTCTATATGGTCTAAAACAAGCTCCCCGGGCATGGTTTGAACACTTTCGCGATGTTGTAGTTGCTGCTGGATATAGCCAAAGTTCTTCCGATCACTCTCTCTTTGTTAGGCGACGGCCTCAGGGTATTACCGTTCTCCTATTATATGTTGATGACATGTTGTTGACTGGGAATAATGTTGAGGGCATTCGTGAATTGAAACTATTACTTCATAATTCGTTTCACATGAAGGACTTAGGCCCTCTCACCTATTTCCTGGGATTGGAAGTACATTGTAGTGATCAAGGGTATTTTGTTTGTCAACAGAAGTATGACTCTGACCTTGTTAAACTTGCTAGTCTTAATGATGAAAAGTAGGTTGAAACACCTATGGAGCTAAATCTAAAGCTATCTAAATCTGAAGGTCCTCTATTTCTCGATGCTGCCTTGTATCGCCAGCTTATGGGGTCCCTCATTTATCTCACTATGACTCGGCCGGATATTTCTCATGTTGTTCAGGTTGTTAGTCAATTTGTTTATGCTCCTCATCATCCTCATATGACTGTTCATCGCATCATTCGATATGTTAGAAGCACAACTTCTCGGGGACTATTCTTCTCCTCCTCCTCTCTTATTCAGTTGAGAGCATATGCTGATGCGGATTGAGCTAGTTGTCTAGACACTCGTAGGTCCACTTCTGGGTGGTGTGTTTTTATGGGTGATTCACTCATCTCATGGAAGTGTAAGAAACAACAAACAGTTTCCAAGTCTTCCACTAAAGCAGAGTATAGGGCCATGTCTTCGGTTTGTAGCGAGATTGTTTGATTACGATCTCTCTTTATGGATCTTGGCATTCAGCTTCCTACTCCTATTCCTCTCTATGCAGACAATACGAGTGCTATCAAGATTGCATATAACCCTGTCTTCCATGAAAGGACCAAGCACATCGAGGTGGACTACCACTTTATCCGAGATCTTTTCGCTACTAGGTCTATATCGCTTCCTCATGTAGCCTCAGACATGCTGGTTGCTGATATCTTCACCAAGCTATGACTAGAGTTTGACATCTCTTTCTTATAGACAAACTGATGCTTATGTCTAGGCATCAGTTTGAGGGGGAGTGTAGAGACCCTGTAACTTGATGTATCTTATTAGTATAGTCCCTGTTGTATATTAAATTTACATTTTATTCTTCTTTCCTCTTTCAGCCCTATATGGGCATTCTTGTAATTGTACATATCTTTAAATATATAAGAGACTCTTTGAGGTGGGGGTCATTCATTCTTGACACCTCTAAGAGTATTTTTGTTCTTTTCTCTATTCGGCCAAGAGTGTTGACACGCTTACCTGCTCAATCTCCACAAGCGTGGTATTGCTTCTTACTGCTTCTTACCTAATCTATGGAGGAAGCCTTTGTTATGATATTAATCACTTTCAGATTCTCATTCATGACTCTTATAGAATATGCAACTAGCACAAAATCTTCGTTGCAATCTATTCCATAATTATTATTAAAAAGGAAAATATGGAAATCCAAATGATTTGTAAACTAAATTTGAACAATTTGAACAACACCTTTGAGGCCATGATCAAATCAGTAGACAAACTTCATTAGATATTCTTTTGAACAAACAAAATATCAAATTTGATGGTGTTAACTAACTGACAAAAACAGGCAAACCCATGTCTATGTTTAAACAAGCTGCACAAGTTTTACATAAATATCCAAAAGTTTATAACATAAACCAGGCTAAGGATGATAATCAACTTAAAACAAGCATACTAAAAAATAAGAATACATTTTGATCTTTTTTTATTTGTGATGAGAAAACACAGAAGACAAAACTCAATACAAATACTTGCCTCATACTTCTCAAGTTCCTCCTTCCAAGCGGATGCATCCCAGTAGTCAACACCCATTTCACCCCAGTATTTTCCAACTTTCAAATCAGTGTGCATCTCTACAACTTTAGCTTGCTAAACAGTGCATAATGAAATCAGTAAAAACATTTCTTCACTTACTGTCTTACTGAACCAAAAACAATAAAATAAAATAAATTTTGAAACAATTAATCATAGCATTCAACACAAACCACATTTGATATGAAACAAGAATTATGCATTGATTACCAAGACAAGAAGAACTAATGTGTGAATTATGAATGCATATACATACATATATGCATATATTTATAAATGCGTTCATGTAGGTGTGCTTGGATGGAAGTGTGTTTGAGATTGGCAGCAGAATTGGAATCATCAAGTCCACGAATCTCCACAGTCAGCCATTTGGATTCATTTCAGTGGTAAGTAAGTTTCAGAAGAGTGCAGGGTTTTTTTTTTTTTTTCTTAAAGGTCATACCCAATGCTGGACTGGATTGGATGCAGACCTAATTAACCTCTGAAATAATGTGGATTTTTTGTCTTTGAGTTAAAACATTATAAGAGATTTCAAAACATTGTTGGGAGGTTTCACATCTCTATTCCAGGGAACCAATACAAGTGTGGAATTTAAATCCAAAAATATTCTTGCAATCCGAACACAGTAGTAGATAATCGGAAGCTAAAGAAGATAATTGAATTAGAAAACTATGAAACTAAAGAATAAATTTGTTTATTTTAGCAACTTGAGCTTGATAATGACAAAAAAGGGGGGGAAATAAAATCAAAACTAAACAACTTATGAGATAAGCATGAAACGTCAAAGATCTATTATTGCATGCATTTGCATACACATAGAATTGGACAAAATTCAAACGAAATCAAATGAAAACTAAGAAAAATTTACAAGGCCACGACCATGAACTACATATATACATATATAGATAGATAGATAGATAGATAAATGCACACACAAATAATTCAAGAGAAAGGAGTGAGAGATTGGATTACTTGGGCGACTAAAACAACAGTTGGAACTAAGAAAACGGCAATGGACTTAGAAGGTTTCCTGAGATGATGAGCGTAAGCTCGTATCAGCATGATCGCGATCAGTGTCTTGCCCGACCCAGTCTCAAGAAATGCAATAGTGTTCTCCCTCATGGCCTTCTCTAGTGCCTCCAATTGATAACTGCATTAAACAACCTTTAACGCACTTAAACAATAAAAACAAGTGAAAGAGAAGAATTATAGGAAGTGAAATGAGACCTTCGAGCGAAAGTGAGAGGATCAGTCGGCTCTCTGCCGTTCTTCGTTTCTGTGACGTCCATGGATTCTTTTGTTTTGGGGTCGAGCAACGAAAGTCGACAGAGCAGTGGTATTTTAGGGAGGTCAAGATTGAGCGCACTTCATCAAATTTGCTCTTCACAGAGCGCACCTCACAGCTCCACTCCCGTGTATTGCGAACATCTTCATGAATAACAATACAAAGTACGGGGAGATGCTCCCGATGTGCGGCTGGGATACGTTGTCAGGTAAGATTTGCTTCGCGAGAAAGTAACGTGCTCCGGAAGAAAAGCGACAAAAGAGAATATCACCTCGGTACGAAAGTACCATGGAGTTGTAAGCGTCAAGGGAGCCAACGGAACACTAACTGATGGTAGAGTTCGAAAATCGCTACCCGATTGTATGGGACAGACGAATTGGCATCTGTTCCTCACACTGCGCGTTTAACACCGATCTCACATGCACATCCCACCGTGCATTGGAAATATCTCCCGTAAATAATAACGTATATAAGTGCAGAAAATGTTCCCCATGTATGCATGGTGGGATGTGACTGTGAGGTCATCGAGTCTCCAACCCGAGTGTGGACGCTCTTCCAAAACATGTCCAATCCTTACTTTTGTCGGACTGGACTTGGACTTTTGTCTTTGGATGGGTTTGGGTCTAAAATTTCAGAATTTTTGGGGGCTGAGTTCAGGTCTAACCCTTGGTTAGCCTAAATCCGGCCCAAGCCTGTCCCCATTATATATGTATACCACTGTTTTCAAAATCAGACTGGACCGGATGGTCGGACTGAAAAAACCAGGAACCGGTCACTTGATCGGTTCCATTTTCCTCCAAAACTATTTTTTCCCTCAAAACCGTTGATTTTGATCAGCAAACCATTGAACCAACCGGTTAACCGTTCGAACAGTTTTGATCGTTTTGCAATTTTTTATTTTATTTTTTTGTCAGAACGGGCCAGCCGTTTGGGTCGAACGGCCGGACCATTCGAACTGGTAAACGGACCCCTGACCGGTTCGGTCACCGGTTCGTTTTTAAAAACCATGATGAATACATATATAGACACATATTGCATGCATATATTTTATAAAAAATATATTTATATGCATGAATACATATATACATATTTTTTAATAGACTATGTATATATATATATATATATTAAAATAATGAAGTTTATGAATTTTTTTATTTTTTTAATTTAATGTCATTTTTTAAACAATCAATAAGATGCTCTCCTTTTTCATAAAATTTACTTAAAATTGTTCTCTCTCTAGTTCCCAATAACCTAATAAATAATCTCCTTTCCTAAAATTTCTCCTAAGGCTGCGTTTGGAATCGGTGTAAAAGGGTAAAGTTTTACATAAATTTTATCGATGTAGTATTTACATCGATAATCGATATAAAACTTTATGTTTGATGAGGTTTTACATCAATTCACGACATAAAACTCCATTCCATCCAAACGCTGATAAATCTAAACTAGAGTGGAGCTTTTACATTGATCTCCATTTACACTCTATCCAAACGCCAACAAACACGAACCAGCGTAAAATTTTACACCGCTTCCAAGCATAGCCTAAACTACATCCTCCACTATCCCCCACTTTATCATAAATTATCTCTAATTCCAACTTATCTCCTAAATTATTTATAATTTAGTAGATAATTTATCTCCTAAATTATCTCTAATTCCTATCTATCCTCCCCTACCTTTTATCTATATCTATCGAAGAGAGTTTGAATTAAAAAATTTAAGAATTATTTAAATATTTTAGCAAAACTATATAATAACTTTAAAATATTTATTAAAACACAAATAATTCTAACAAATTTAATAATATTCATATTATTAATAATTTTATATAAATATAAATATTCATATTATATATTTGTACTAACAATATAAATTATGATTTTTCAGATTGTTCAATTTAAATGTTATTCAAATATTAAAATTTAACATTAAAAAATAAAATATTATTTAAACATTTCACTAACTAAATATATTTAATAACAAAATATGAAAAAAATACATAAATAATTATATAACAAAATATTTAATAGGGTCATTTATTAGAACGCCCTACTTACATAAATTTACTTAAACATACCTTATAGTTTTCATTTTACTAAAATACCCCTTATAATTTGCAATCTACTTACTTAATCGATCTTTAATTAAGAAGTGTTTCTTTTTCCCTCTGAAAGTAGTACCATGATCACCTAAATTGAATGTAAAATGTTCAAGGGGCATGGGCTTATGAATGTTTATTCCAAAATTACCCTTAAAACTTCTTCGTGCTAAAAAAATAACCAAATAGAACCAAATAAAGTGGTTGCCCATGTCTTATTAAGGGCAAAAATGGTATTTTCCATTCTTATTTTCTTTTGATTATATTTATTCAAATGGACATTAGGGTCAAAACTGTCATTTTCCACTATCATCTAATGGGAGACCGATTGAGTAAATTCACTGCAAACTACAAGGGGTGTTTAGTAAAACGTAATCTCCAATGTATGTTTTACTAAATCCATAAAACTATAGGAGATGTTATAGTAAATGGCCCTATTTAATATTATGTAATAGCTTTAAAATAAATGAAATTCAAATAACAAAAATTTAAATATTTTACATATTATTTAAATATTTAAAGAACTAAACATTTATGGATTATTAAATTTAATAATTAAATAATATTTTAAATTTTAAATAATATTATTATTTAAATAACTAAATAATATTGTAAGTAACTAATTTTACTCATATCAATTAATAATTCGTGAAAAAAACTTTCAAAAAAATTAATATTTATTAATCTTAATTTTAAAGACTTAATCCATGCTTATTATATAATTATATATACTTAAATTAATATTTATTGTATTTCAATAATTATTTTTTGTTTTTGTCATAAATATATTTTTAATAATTATGTCTAAATTTATTTTTGTTTTTTATTTTAACAGAAAATTTCAATAATTAATGGTTATTAAAATACTATTGTTGTTTAAATTTAATTTATTGTACTTATTGTATTTATTTTATTTTTGTGATTATTGTATGTTTATTAGTTATTTGTTGTATTTGCATTAACAATATATTTTCAATAATTGTGTATTTTTGCTATAAGTTTTCAATAACTAGTAAAATTGTATGTGCATTGCACGTGGCAATATCAAATGATGATGATGATGATGATGATGATGATAATCAGCAACCAAATGACCTTATCGGTTGAACCATTAACCTATTTAACGAGGAAAATGGACTATGATTAAGACATTAACTCATTTTTTCTTTGTATTTTAGCCATTTCTATCTTTACTAACAATAATTCTTATTTTTCAAGCATATTTTTGTCAAATATGAAGAATATATAATATTAATGCGAGTTGAGTGCTTGAGAGCTAGAGAGTAGAATAATCACGCATACCTTTTCCTTGAGGTTCCCGTCTTTATATACTGGAGTAATCATGGGTCTCACGAAAGAGCTTCGGGATCTCTGGGTGTGGAGATAGGGTTCGTTCCGCTTCTGAGGGAGCAGTATGTAGATAAGGCTTATCGTTTCACTTCCGACTTTGGTGGAGCGATGAGTCCTCTTCGTGATCTCGAAAAAGTTGGGATCTGTTAGCTCATCGTGATATCGAGAGATTCGGGATATGTTAGCTCATCGTGATCTCGAGAGATTTGGGATCTATTGGAGAGACCTCTGGAGTCGGTTACTTGGCGATTCGGGTTGTTAGCCCCGAGCTAATACTTCGATTCTTTAGTTTTGAATTGGATTGGATGCCGAAGTGCCTCGCTGCTGAGGTGAGTTTGGGGCTGAGGTGGCTGAATACCTGAGCTCAAATGTTAAGAACTGGGTTTTCCAGGCCGAGCTGTCATCCCTTAATCAGGTTGCGTCCACATTTCCCCTTTTCGCTAGGTTGGGCCAAATCACCCTTCATCAATTGCCCCCACTCCCCAAGTCAGGGGTCTTAACCTGGCGTGAGGAGTTCATGACGAGTCCAGGTGGATTTGGCACGAGGTCTAGGTGCTTTGACGGGCGAATCGTTGGTCGGACCTGTTCGATCACCCGGCTCAACCAAGAATAACCCAGGTCACGTCTAAGCTACGCGCGGACGTCATGCCGTTTTATAAACTCCGTGGACGTCAAAACACACGCTAAATCGATTTCAAACTCGAGGGTCATGCAACCGGTTTTCCTAGGAGCCGTTGGATCGTGTTGATCTCGACCATTGATCTCCGGATACACTGTCTATAAATAGAGGCCAAGGGGCTCATTTTCCTCGCCACAAGTCCACAAATCCGCAATCTTTGAGGTCGCGTTCAAGTCTTTCCAAGGTCGCTTTCCTTTCTTCGGTCTTCCTTTTGGTGAGTATTCCTTTGCTTTTTCTTTTTGATTTCATGCCTTTTTAGTATGTCTAGCTTTAGTTTTGATAGTCTCTTAGACGGGAGCAGTGAATCCGCTGGAGCCGAGGTGGGTACCTCGGCTCAGACCGTGGATCCTCGTCCTACCGAGGAGGTTACTTTGGGCCAGAATGCGGTCCACGGTCCTCCAGAGGTGAACTCACCTCGGCGGGAGCGAGAGGCCTCAGGTAACCTGGCTTCCACCTCACATCAAGGTCGGCTGTCAAATAACTTCGGCCCATCGACAATGACGGCGAACAGGCTTCTAACCCTAGTAGCTCGAAACAGACTCCCTAACAACTTTGTTTATAGCATCTCCTTAGGTAACTTCCCTTGGGATCACAGTCACGACGAGATCGTAATTTTCGAGGAGCATCTCGTAGCTGGTCTTCACCTTCCACTTCACCCTCTCATAGTCGAGATCGTAAAGTTTTTCAACATCACCATAGATCAGTTACACCTGAACTCTATCCGCAACGTCGTAGGGACCATTTCACTTTTCCACGATTACAATCTTCCCCTTAACCTCGACATTTTTTCTTCAATCCTTTCCATAAAGAAGAATTCGTCTTGTGTTCTGCCCGAGCACAGATGAACTTACTATATGCCTTGTCCTGGCTTCAAACTTTTGCACGAGCTCCCTAACAATGTCCCGACCTGGAAGAGGTGTTATTTTGTGGTCTGCAACACTGAGGGGTGGCCTTTCCCGACTCATTGGAGGGCAACCATCCAGGACCCTGGTGTTAGGTTGGACCTGAAGACGAGGGAGGCGCTCTGATCTTGGGCGGAGCTTGGCTTGAAGTTTGAAG